CATTCATTGCTTTACAAAGGCGTGCGGTCCGTGTATAGTATATGTGAATGTATATTTATGTTAGCCGTTTTTTTACAAACTTTTATTTTATTATTGAATCTTAATAAACGCGTTTGTACATTTTATGTCAAGCAAAGCCTTTTTGCCTATATGGACTGCACGCCACTGAGTAGCGTGTAGGAAGACTTCTCGGAATCCAACTTTCATGTACGCTAAGTGGATCATAATCGTAAGAGAGTAAACGTAAACACATTTCATGAAAAAACATTTATTTACGAACCGTCAATTCTGAATTCATCATTATGGTTCACAAGATCAATAGTCTGAGCCAAATCCATTTGCTAGGAGAACATCAAAGGCGTCCCAGGTGCATAACGAAAAATATTATTTCCAGATATATGATAAGAAACACGAAGTTTATGGTCTTCTGAAGGTCTGTGGGCATGACCATGATACCCTGAAGAAGGTGATCAAGTGCGTGATCTCAAAGGTGAGTTTTTTACGGCTTTTCGACGAAGTGTATGACTTCAATGGAGCGTGTTATGGGGTTTTAAAGTCAATTAAGTGTGTTTAGTGTTTCAGTTTATGGGAATGAAAGACCTTGGTCTTATTTCCATGGGTTTTGAGGGCAAATGAGCTATGTAATGATTTTAACGACTTAGCGGTTATTATGGAAGTGAGGATGGTGCGGTTGATATAATGGGGTCAAATCTATATAATGTTTTGTATAATGTTTAGTAACTGTGTGTTTCATTCTCAGTTTTACAATATTATAAGCATAATATTAAAATATAAAGTTGAAAATGATCTAAATAAACGTTTTCATATAGAGTTAGACTTGATTGCCAAGCTAACATGAAATTAAATACAGTAGGAAGCGAATAGTTATACATAAATTGTACAGATAACTACAAACTTCGACAGATGGAGATTTGTGTCTGTACGCATTCACAAAGCAGGAGAAATGTCTAGCGTGGGGTTGCAATGAACTCGAAAGAATGTTTAATATTTTAAGCAATCACACTATCAGAACATCCGAAGTAAATACTAAGGTGCATGCTTTGTACACCTAAAATGTTGTTTTATTTTTGATAGATGATAGATGGGCATCTTTTAATTTTAACAATACTTTGTGAATCGAATCTAAGAGGTTCTCGCTGATTACCTCGGTAACTTTCGGTATAGATACTAGTAATTCACTTTTGCAGGTGAATTTTACATACTTTATACACAGTACACAGACGGTAATCGAATACGTAAAACAATGGCTGCGCGTAAATTCTGCGCCCAGCGTTGGCTCTCAAATTAAAGAACAGCTCATAATCACATTTGGAAACGGATATAGCGGGATCAATTACCGAGTCACACAAATTCAGTACGGAACTGGGTAAAATATTCGTAAACTTCATGGAAAATGATTCACTTCCGGTCATGAAATAAAATATAATATTCAGTCAAATGTTGCGTGGAACGTTTTACGAGATTATTTCAGCTATGAAACTTTCAGTGCCTGAATTCTAATATCATTTTATTTGATACATTTTTATTTGAAAAACTGAATGTTGGAAATTTTGTGAGCGAGTAGGAGTTGACGATCGGGAGGAAAGTCTCTGTATTCCTAAAAATGTAATAGACTTCTTGATATCCTATATTATAAATAAAGACTATGAGGTTATGCACATAAACCCTATGCCTAATGATAGTAATATTTAATATCTAGATTATTTTAAATAGGTATTGAAAAGTGAAAGTCTAAATTAACGTTAAAACAACCAGACAAAACTAACGTTGAAATTCAATAATAGTGGAATGATAGCTATGCTATTTTATTTTCAGTCACCAGTAATCAAATCAGCAATGATGGATGTGACAGGCAAGCTGATTGACGGAGTAGTCAGCCTGACTAAACTCATGGCTCATGGAGCAATGCACGAAGCTTGTCTCATAGAAGTAATCAGAAATATCGAAGACGAAGCCTTCACCCTTGTGGAAAACGTCAGAGTCTGCGTGTACACGAACAATACTTTTATGCAAGAAGTAAAAGAGTACATCAAAGATAATAATGCAACAGTTCTTGATGTACAAAATAAAGATAAAAGTAAAACCAAAGAAAAAGATAAGATAGAAGATACTGATGTAGATAAAGATAAGAAAACTAAAAATGTTGAAGAAGAACTGACAGAAAAGCCACATAAAGAAGAAGACGTTAAACAAATGAAGGAGCTAATCAGAAGAATGTTAGCTGACAACAAAGCAAATGATATAGATTCTTCTTTTAAGAATAAACTAACGAAGTTACAACAAGACTTAGCAGCAGTTGATGCTAACGAAATTGTCAAAAAGGATAAGGGTGATTAACTTATTAATTAATAAAGTAACGTTTAATTAATAGTATTAAAGTTTATTTTTGATTGAAGGAAATGTTATTGTTGAGAGAATGTCTCAGTTTAAAAATGGTTGGTCTGATTTCCGAGGCACACGTTTTATGGTACGTTTTTATTTCGTCTTTAACCGATACGAGTAAAATTTATACTGAGATAAAAATTTTAATATCCAACCCAAATCTGTAGGAGACTTAAAAATAGTTCACTTACGAAATCAGAGTGTTTACGATGGGAACGCTAAGACAACGATATATCCAGAGTTTGCATTCTTTGTTTACTCAACCGCGAATAACACTTCATACACATCATCTTGGTTAGAATCCTCTGATGTAACCTCAGTATCTACTACTTTTATTTTTATTTTGTATTTTAATGCTTCATTCTAATTGCATTGGTCGGAAATATTGTTGGGTTTCCCTATTTCAAAATCTCCAGTAGCTTAACTGTTTATTCCGTTTTATTACTTGGCAGCCACTGTGATTGGGAAAAGGTAGGTAAAACCATCCATTAATTGCTTATAGAAATGTAGGTATCTTTTGTCTGACCTTATTCTGTTCTTGTCAGCAAGACCAATTTATCACTATTAAATATAATTTGTACTTGAACATCAAAATATAGTGTCATCTATGACGAAATTATATTAGTTACAATGATGATAGTTAAGGTACCGTTACACATCCTTTAAAATGGCACGCTAAAAGGCGTTTTACTGAGCATGCTCAAAAATTTCAAAAATCAAAATCCTGTCTTTTCGCAAAGGTCCCTGAAATGACCTTGCTAGTTTTAACAAGCTGCTAAGTGACAAGTGCTCATTTGAACAAGCTTTCGGGCTTGAAATAGCATAGGTAACAATACCATTACTCCAAAAAAAATTGACTGTTAATTAAATCTAGTATATGTTTATGTATAAGCCGGTAAACGAGTATACGGATCACCTGATGGTAAGAAATCGGCGCCGCCCATGGACACCCGAAACACCAGAGGCGTTGCAAGTGCGTTACCGGCCTTTTGGGGATTAGAAATTTGAGGATTGTTTGGGACTTAGGGGTTGGAGAGATTGGGAAAGGGAAGAGAGGAATTGGGCCTCCGATAACTACACTCGCACGACGAAACACAACGCAAGCGTTGTTTCATGTCGGTTTTCTGTGAGGCCGTGGTGTCACTCCGGTCGAGCCGGCCCCATCGTGCCGAAGCATGGCTCTCCCACAATTTTCTTAATAGTTACAACACTATTCTAAAATATGGGACATATTGACTCAAAATTTACCTAAGTAACAAAGAAAGATTTTGTCACCTCAATACATATTTAGGTCGCTTCGAAAACTAGGTTAATATCAATTTACATAATTGTACATCAAATACACAACGTATTAATGTCACATAGTATCCCAGAAACGACTTGTCATAAACGTTAGAATCGACTCTTTGATCATCTTTGACATAATTATCTTTCGCATAATCATTTTCAGTAAGGTGAATGCCCTTTGCCTTTTTAATTACTGATCTCTGGCTAGTTTCCAAATTTTAATGTCTGAATGTATGTTGCTTTAGTTACGTGTCTTGTGGGTGATCTTCTCAAAAACTTGAGTGGTACCGTCTGTTTGTTTATGGATCGGGACACAGTGTATAAAATGTCAATGTTGCTATGTCTTATGTTTTAAAAGGGTAAAAGAGGGGTAATGCGTTTTTGTCATAGAGCTCTTGTGGTCAATACTTTTAATTCCTACTTATATTATAAAACGCGAAAGGTTATAAAGATTTAAGGGCCGAAACACATAACCATTAACCACGTTGCGTCGCCGCAACGCTAAAATCGGCAGTTTGCGTTGCGGCGTCGTGAAAAAAACCGTTTTGTTGTCGTCCGGTAGGGTAACCAGTAGGGTAAACGTTGTGATTTTTTATTGTGGATAAACGTGTCCCTGCCATGGACCATCGTGAAAAACTTATGGCTTTTTTGTTATTAAACTGTCAAACACCAAGCGGTCACCGGCAAAGAGTATAATAAGTATAGGGGATGTCACCGGTGACCGCAACCTATTCTTCTATAATTGTGTCGCGGAGAACCTAACGGGTAACCGGGGCTCCGGCTCGACGTGCTGACACTCCCTCCCGCCTCACCCAGGCGGGAGCAGTTATTCGATGATTTCCCCCCCTTAAAAAAAAAAAATCTTCTATAATTGTGTCTATAATGACGGTACTCGACGAGTTAAACTGTCAAACACCGTGAGGACACCGGTGACCGCAACCTATTGATCTTTAATTGTGTCTATAATGACGGTACTCAACGAGTTAAGAAGACATTTCTCTTCTATGCTGCTGCGTTGCGGCGGCGCAACGCAGCGCAACGCAAACTGCCGATTTTAGTGTGTGTGTGCGTGTATGTTTGTTTGTTACTCTTTCACGTCGAAACGGCTGAAGCTATCGGGATGAAATTTGGAACAGGGGTAGATTATGGTCTGGAAAAACAGATAGACTACTACTACTACTTTTTATCTCACGAGAACTCGGGCGATGCCGCTGGCAGAAGGTACTAGTTTAAAATGTTGTGGAGTTTTCTCAGTTTGTTTGGAAATGGCGATGATGTAGATCTTTCAAAGGGTTTGTTTGTGTAACTGCAGATTCTTTTTTTCGAAACTGAATAAAGAAGAATACTTTAGTGAAAAAGTAACAAATTGTAATTTATACTTGAATATGCCTTTGACAATCAAACTTGCTGAGTTTCATCCCAATTCATGGTGCAGTTTTACCCATTCCTTTAGTAGTTCCATAGTATTCACAAATTCATTTCGTTTAACATTTTCCATTTGGTTCTGTTTCAAACTATAAATAGCAACGGTATAATTAGTTCCCATTTCCTCGATATTTGAGAGGAATTATTTCGTGGAATAGTTGTAAAAGATATTAAAAACAGTTAAATGTTGTTGTAGAAATCGTAAATGTCGGCAATAAGTTAGTATGGCGCTGTATAGAGCTGTCATCGGCCGCCTAGCTATGCGTTGAAACTGTAAAGAATGAACCACATTATATTTAAATTATTGGTTCTGTTTTTAAACTGTATTGTTGGTTGCTAATGACATTGTTGATAATGAGGTCTTGGGTTTGACGAGGATTGACGAGAAGAAGAATGTGTTCTATTTTCTGTGTGTTCCTATCGATTTCATAGGTGGGTAAGGGGTTATGGTGTAAAGTGTGGGAGAGCCATGCTTCGGCACGCATGGGCCATGATAGCACGGCCTCACAGAAAACCGACGTGAAACAACGCTTACGTTGTATTTCGTCGTGTGAGTGAGGTTAACGGAGGTCCAATTACGCCCCCCTTCCCAGTCTACCTAATTCCCGAATCCTCCAAAATCCTCAAATTCCCAATTTCCAAAAGGCCAGTAACGCACTTGTTACGCCTCAGTGTTCCAGGTGTCCATGGGCGACGCCGATTGCTTACCATCAGGTGATCCGTTTGCTTGTTTACCGGCTTATGTCATAAAAAAATTTGCAGCGAATGAAGCATGCATTAATATCATCTCGCGTAAATATGGAAGACTGCAGTTAGCTCGCGATGAGAGGAAATATTTTGGTTACAATTTCCTGGTAACATTTGAGGATTATTTTAAATGAACTTCCTTCAATAAGATTATGGCTACGTCGAAATTGTTCACTGCTGTTTACAAAACATTTATTTTGTTTATAGAAGGTGCACGCTGTATATCTCGTGTTTATGTGAAATTACTTGTAAGTACCGCTGGACATTAGGTCTGGGTAATATAGCAGGAATTTTCGCCTGATTTCTAAATTGAAGCAAACCATTATGTTGGTTTTTATTCTAAAATGTGCTAAGAATCTGACTTCGTGTATATTTATTTAAAATTCTCTAAAAAATACATTTTTTTTATATTACTTACTAAATAAAAAAAAATATTTAAAATTATAAAAATAGGAGCCGACCAGTAGCGGGAGCATGGTCCAAGGTACGGGTGTTTAGGGCTCCAGAGACAGAAACCTCCTCACGATACGTGCCGTTTCTAGGAGAACTACCTTCTGAATCAGGCCCTTAATCCATCCACCTAACGCCAGCCTCCTGAGAGCCGAGAGAAAAGCCTGTCGAGGGACTAACCCATTGGCCGACACGACTGTCGACACAATGATAACCGAATCCACACTCCACATGTCGACAACCTCGTGAGCTAAGTCTAGATATTTTATTTGTTTATCTTTCTCAGCTTTCACGAGGTTCTCGTCATGGGAAATGGTGACATTGATTATCATCGTGCGGCAGACATGTCGGTCTATCACCACTGTGTCAGGTTTATTGGCTACAATAGTCCTGTCAGTAATGATAGACCGGTCCCAGTACAATGTGATATGGTAATTTTTCAGAACTGGGTCGGGCACATACTTGTAGTACCTCAGACAATAATTATTATTAAAGATTTCTAACTAGGTATACTGGAAATAAGAAGCTGCTAGTTTAAGCTAAAGATAATTCAAATATTATCGGAAATTCGGAACTATCGCACTATAATAAATTGAACTTGAGATTTAGTTACTGCATAATAAAACTTGGTTTTCTGCTACAAGAATACGCACAGACGACACTGCTCTTCGTAGAAAACTTTATATATACATTACGTATCATACTGTTTTTATGGTGACTGCAGAGAAATCTTCACGAAACTACTAACAGACCGTTGACGAAGTCCCTTGGCAAAGTTGCTTACAAATATTTTTCCTCAAAACTTTTGCATCAATAAAATGAAAGAATCTTATTACAATTTACCGCAAAATCTGAAACTTGTGAAGGAAATATGTGTCAGGGACAGCAGTGACGTAAGAACGGCAATAATATCGACAGATCTGTTAATGTATGAGTAATTTTACCAAAATAACTTACTAATACGCCGGTTTGCGTATTGTGTGATATTCTGCACTGCAAGCGGTTATTTTGATGTTACGAATTATGTTGTTACGTCTCCAGTTACATAAAGTTTTCAATAGCTGGTGAAAAGTGAATGTTAGTTATT